TGTAAGTGTGTCTTAGTTCAAAGCTTTGGTTAGTAAATGAGGATCCTGCACACCAAAAAAAAGTCAGATTAAGCTGGTTTCAAATTGCATATTTAGCTTCTCTCTCCTTTCTCTGTCTGATGGATAGCGGTATGTATTCTCTTCTTTTTTCCATTTTGTCCTCATTATGTTTGGTTCAAACATACCAGTGGTTGCAATACACTTATTGCTTTCTATCTTTTCCCATTTTTATGTTACTTTCTGGTATTTTATCTCCATTTTAATTTCTATTGTTGTAATTGACTGATTTTATTTCACTGCAATACAGAATTTTATTTTGTTCTTGTTTGAACCATCTTAATTAAGTACTTTGTTACTTTGTTTTAAATACAGTTAACTATTATTAGGCTATTACAGTTATTATCATTTTGTCAAGACTTTACATTAGCAGCTTTGTGACATATTTTTGTGGGAAATGAAGACTAGACTTAACTATATCAAAACTAGAGTTTAAGACATTATTATCTTCTCTACTTGCAGAAACCTGTGGTGTACTTTTTGACAGCATGGCACCCCGTAACAAACTAATCACGTTAAGTGTCAGAGCACGGGTTGTGACCTCATCTTCCTGTTATGATGAGCTGTAATAAAATGAGAGGGTGTATTTGTCTGATGACTGGCTGATTTCCTCAGCCAGTCATATGACAGCCCAGACACAATCTGGCGGAAAGAAGAGTCATTGTTTTCTCAAACTCTTTGCGCAGATAGCGCAGACTGTTGGTCCGCCCCTGTCGCGATGCTACGGAAAGTTCGTTAAAAACGTTGGTGAATGACGTGCGTTGACGTAAACCAGACCGGTGGTTTTCTCTTTTTTTTTTGGTACCGAGCGAAGAGGAGATGCACACGGCACTCGAGTGAGGTAACTATATAAAAACCCATTTGTTGTCATTCACTCCCACAACATGGACCCGGACAGCGTTCGCCACGACGTGTAGATGTTAGTAACCACTAATGTGAGCGTGCGTTACGGAATATCTGGCAACGTGTGTTATCGTTGCTCTCTGTAGGCTGTGAGCCAATTCCCTGCGAGTCGTCTCCTAGCTAACGTTAGCTGGCTGAATTGTTGCCTTCCTCTCTAGATTAGCGTTAGCATTAGCCTGTCCGAGAGGGGCGACTGTTGGCTAAACAAACGCGTCGGGCTTTGAACTCGTGCCTCTTGTCAGCTTTCCGGGGCTCGCGGTGGACAATGGCGACTAGCTGTGTGCTGGTGGTGAACGCGTTTTGATGAGTTTAAACGCTGCGGTGTTGTAAAGGCACGTTTCAATGACGAGGAAAGAGGGGTGCTCGGCGTTGCATTATGCGCACCACGTGCGGCGTTTAAGCTCACTCAGTAGACTAGACTGATGAGCGGTATCGCGTCTGTGCTTCTTCAACAGCGTGGCTGCAAGATTGAAAGCAAGACAAACGTATGTGACCGAGTTGTTTTTAAACTGATTGTTTTATTTGCTCCCCGTCAAAGTGCATTTTTACGCCCCCTTATTGGGCGGACACACAGCGACCGTTTTTTGGTCGCATGTACATTTTACATTTAAGCCTCATTGTCCGTGCTGATACATATTCAGTGCGATCTATTGTAACGTAGTACAAACATTTAAATGTGGAAGAGCTTAATTTAGAGCACGCATGAGTAAATGTGTGCCGTTTGCTATAAAGTAACAGTAGTGTGCTGATCACTGAATCACTAAGTGCTGAAGAGCACTTAGCATGTAAAATAGCAGCTTTACACGCATTAATTAGCACAGCTGCCTTAAAAACAGCACAAACAGAACTGTGGCCCCAAATGCATGCTGTAAAATATGATTTTTTTTTTTTTTTAATCATACAGTGCGTCCTCATGAACCAGCCCATTCAATTTACACTGTTGAACTGCAATATTAAAATGTCTGTGGATTAAGCACGTAATCAATGATATGTTTGTCTTGAAAGAAAGATTAAACACTACTCCCGTCCCCTAAAATGTCCTCCGATGATCCTTTGATGATTTTTATGAACTGTCAGAATTGGAGAAATGATATGCAGACGTGCAACAAGTTGTATCTATTTCTCTGTCTACAGTATATAGGTAGTGACTTACACAGTGCAAATGATTCATTAAATCACACACCGGTTATACAAATGTCACCGTATGAGCTCCTGATGCTGAATTAGGCTACGTTTTGAATGTTGGTCATAATATGTACCACGCTATGTAGCTTTATTTCGGCCTGGTCTTGTTCAGGTAAAGGATCGCTTCCTTTTAGTTAAGCTGTGTCTAATATATAATGCCAGCATGTCCCATCAGTTAAAACACAACTAACAACTGTAAAAATTACAAGTGCACCAGTTAAAAATACAATTAACCAAAATGGATTTAGTAAAGCAAGTAGAGCAGACTTTTTATTTGTTGTTGAAGCCAGTTAAAATATATTCAGTGTGGAGCATCCTGGTATTAACTGTTCTGTCTCGTTAACCCCGGTCTAATAAAAGAAGACAAAGAAACGCTATGCCCCCAGGATTAGAGAACCTTTCATCTAATACAACACGTAAGCTTCAGTGTTGACATGTACAATATCTATCGCAATTTAATTTGTGCCATATTTGTAATCTGCGCCTCCACATGCTCCGTGTGGATGAGGCAGGCAGTTCTCATACATACTGTTGAGGATAACGGGTTAGTTATGTTCTGAGTACTGTACTGTTCTTACTTGACCCACATAATGTGGGACCAGGGGCGCAGTTAATTACGCCTATTTTTTTTTTGTCCCCAGACCCGACAGAGCTCCTCCACAACCACATAAGACATTATACAACTTGTGTCCACAGGCTGAGTGCTACTCAACATGACTAGTACACTGACCTTTGTGTGTGATATCGGTGCAGCTCCCCTCGGAGAGTTGAGTTACGTTACCAAACCTTATTCACAACACACCAGTAAGGTGTTTATGATTGCAGCATACAGCTTTAAATTGCAGCTTATAAGGAGCTGTATTTAACAAATTCTGAACATTTAGTACAGCAGCAAACAACTATTAAGCTGTGTGGAGATGCAGTGGAGTCATGTCTACCTGAGCAGAGGATGAAGTCACCCTCTCTCTATGTGTGTCGTTATCCGAGCCTCTCCTTGCCATGCATGCTTTCAGTGCACGTTAGCGTGCCCCGCTGGTTAGCTCGCGGGCATTTGGTCTCGGAGGCGTAATAGTGCCCACCCTCGGGTTCCCTCTCAAGTGAACACTGCTCTGTCAGCACTTCACTGTAGTTTGCACCGTTGGCGCCGTTGGCACCATTTGCCGTTGAGAGCCGGTGAGAAGCAATCAAAATGCTCCCAAAAACTCTGATCTTTCACCTTTTTTAAGGATATTATGCACAGACTAACACTGTGTAATCACGCGTTTTAATACTGTTACATTGTCACACGTATACAGTTGTGTGAAAAAGTGTTTGCCCCCTTCCTGATTTCTTATTTTTTTGCATGTTTGTCACACTTAAATGTTTCAGATCATCAAACAAATTTAAATATTAGACAAAGATAACACAAGTAAACACAAAATGCAGTTTTTAAATGAAGGTTTTTATTATTAAGGGGGAAAAAAAAATCCAAACCTACATGGCCTGTGTGAAAAAGTGATTGCCCCCTAAACCTAATAACTGGTTGGGCCACCCTTAGCAGCAACAACTGCAATCAAGCGTTTGCGATAACTGGCAATGAGTCTTTTACAGGGCTGTAGAGGAATTTTGGCCCACTCATCTTTGCATAATTGTTGTAATTCAGCCACATTGGAGGATTTTCGAGCATGAACCGCCTTTTTAAGGTCATGCCACAGCATCTCAATCGGATTCAGCTTGGGACTTTGACTAGGCCACTCCAAAGTCTTCATTTTGTTTTTCTTAAGCCATTCAGAGGTGGACTTGCTGGTGTGTTTTGGATCATTGTCCTGCTGCAGAACCCAAGTGCGCTTCAGCTTGAGGTCACGAACAGATGGCCGGACATTCTCCTTCAGGGTTTTTTGGTAGACAGCAGAATTCATGGTTCCATTTACCACAGCAAGTCTTCCAGGTCCTGAAGCAGCAAAACAGCCCCAGACCACCACACTACCACCAACATATTTTACTGTTGGTATGATGTTCCTTTTCTGAAATGCCGGGTTACTTTTACGCCAGATGTAATGGGACATACACCTTCCAAAAAGTTCAACTTTTGTCTCGTCAGTCCACAGAGTATTTTCCCAAAAGTCTTGGGGATCATCAAGATGTTTTCTGGCAAAACTGAGACAAGCCTTTATGTTCTTTTTGCTCAGCAGTGGTTTTCATCTTGGAACTCTGCCATGCAGGCCATTTTTGCCCAGTCTCTTTCTTATGGTGGAGTCATGAACACTGACCTTAATTGAGGAAAGTGAGGCCTGCAGTTCTTTGGATGTTGTTCTGGGGTCTTTTGTGACCTCTTGGATGAGTCGTCGCTGCGCTCTTGGGGTAATTTTGGTCGGCCGGCCACTCCTGGGAAGGTTCACCACTGTTCCATGTTTTCGCCATTTGTGGATAATGGCTCTCACTGTGGTTCGCTGGAGTCCCAAAGCTTTAGAAATGGCTTTGTAACCTTTTCCAGACTGATAGATCTCAATTACTTTGTTTCTCAGTTGTTCCTGAATTTCTTTGGATCGCAGCATGATGTCTAGCTTTTGAGGATCTTTTGGTCTACCTCACTTTGTCAAGCAGGTCCTATTTAAGTGATTTCTTGATTGAGAACAGGTGTGGCAGTAATCAGGCCTGGGTGTGGCTAGAGAAATTGAACTCAGCTTTCCAAAGATGTGATAAACCACAGTTAATTTATGTTTTAACAGGGGGGGGGCAATCACTTTTTCACACAGGGCCATGTAGGTTTGGATTTTTTTTCCCCCTTAATAATAAAAACCTTCATTTAAAAACTGCATTTTGTGTTTACTTGTATTATCTTTGTCTAATATTTAAATTTGTTTGATGATCTGAAACATTTAAGTGTGACAAACATGCAAGAAATCAGGAAGGGGGCAAACACTTTTTCACACAACTGTACATGTTGTGTTGCCTTTGTAATGTAGTTAACAGCTGCCAAAGTACACTTATATGATTGAGTTCTGGAAAAGGAGAATCGAGGCTCAGCGAACCCTTACAGATGGGACCTCATGAGTTTTCTTTTTTTTTGATCCGTGAATTACAATGCAACCAACTTTGTCTCTCATACCAAATATGTACGCTGTTGCTGAAATTGTGTTTTGGTCTGGGCTTTGCTGGCTGAACATCTAAAGTAGGCTTACCGTATGTGGATGGAAAACCCAGACGTGGGTTCTATTTCCAGATTGTTTTGTTACTTATTTGTCGGATTACACCCTGATACAAAGAAAGCAGACACAATGAACACAGGAATACACCGGTCATATCCTGGCTTGGAATTGTTGTTAGGATTTTTGACTTTCTGTTGTTTCGGTTCCACTGAGGACAAAGCGACAATAGAAAGGCCTTATTATGAACCATACTGATGCTGAAATCAAGCCCAAAAATCCAAGAATGACCTCCCAACCGCTACATTACACTAACGTTTTGGGTGATATTTTTTGTATATGGCTGAATATTGTTTACAGCTTCTATGTGTTTAACAATATGCCACTTTTTGTGCCCTGCAATAGAATTAATAATGGCCTTTGGCATTTGTCCGCTGTAATTACAGTCAATCACCTGAGTCGAATTTTGTAGCATTATATTTAGAATGTCACAAGCCAGTGTTCTTAGGAGCTTACAGGTAAAAGGGAAGTTAAAATCAGTCCTAAATAAATGTAACCTTACCTTGATACCTTACAGTACAAACCCCTGGGTGAAAACCACCAGTGCTTCCAGCTGCATGTTCCTTATAAGAACTGTGTAAACATCGGGCCTGGCGGCTGAATTTGTTTTCGTGCTCAGCATGATCACAATCTGCTGCACACGTAACACCATTCCCACACTCCTGCTGTTTTTACGATACGGCGCTTTTATGCAGACGGGGCATTTTTTGAGTCATGATAGCTAATATTTTTCAACCAATACATCCAATCTAACCTCAGCCAGCCTCAGCTATTTTTTGTTGTTGTCGCATAACCGCTTTTTAGCTTGAGCACTGTCCACATTAGGCGTCAGTTTAATGTAGAAATATATATTGTTCCCACCACCGTTCAATGCATGTAGGATGAGGCGTGGGTCAGTCCAGCTCAGCACTGACGTAGGTGGACCAAACTTAGCGAGGATCATTTTTACCTAGGACAGTCTGCTGTAACAAACCTTTGCTGATTTACACCTAGGCAAAATGGTCAGACTGGCCCACCACACACGAACACCGTGAGTAGCTGGTCAGGTGCTCCCTGACTGCTCAAACATGCAGACACACGCACACATTCCCGCCCTGTGCCTCCCCTCCTCTCTCTACAAATTAGTTAAGTCGCTGGACTCAAAAGCCTCAAAAACATTCAACCTGTGACTTATGTCAGCGCCGGCGTGAACCTTTTGTATCGGTGCGCCGCGAACTCCTGTTTCTTTTGGAGGGGCTTATTGGTGACTGAAGGTAAGCATCGCTCTGTTTTGCCAAGGTGTTGTTTCTTTACCGCGTGTGTGTGTGTGTGTGTGTGTGTGTGTGTGTGTGTGTGTGTGTGTG